ACCAATATCTAACGTTATCTTTATCCTCATGGTATGGCACGTCCTCTTCAAGAAATTTATAAATATTCTCTTCCTCAAAATGAAACACCAACAGGAGGCAAACACAATACAACATAATTCTAATAAAAAATAAATAAGAAATATCTATAATTTCCTAACTGCGCTCAGTTTCCACTTTGATATTTAAATCTGTTGAAAATTACGTGTGAATAGTTGTAAATGAGCATGCAAAAAAAACAACAACATTTAAAGCGTCTAAATGTTAATAACAAAACAATTGAACAAGTTTCCTTCACCCTAGTTGCAGTTGTTTCATCCACACACTTCAAATGACTAACTACTGCATCAAGTTGTTACCTCAGCCAAGTCACATTTTGAAGTCCCTGTTCAAATAGGTCGTAGCGAGGTTTAGGAGGGAGGGTAAAAGCGACACACACAACTATCCCTGAAGATGAGCCCTTGGAAGTATGAACGTCACGTATGTCAGTACTCATGCTTGTCGACTACCCAGGCAGAAAGGGTGACCAAACTTGAGTACAAACATTTGCTCCCGTACTGGTGCTTGCATTACTGACCACCATGCAATAAGCAATTCATTCATCGTGATTACTCGTGAATCAGACGCAAATCCTGTAGTGTAGAAAGAACTGTTTGAAAATTAAGGAGCTGGCGAGGAAGACCAGTTAGAATGAAACTGCATTATCAACTCCATAATCTCCTTAATGTTCAATGCTTTACAGTTAAAAGACATTAGTTTAACATTTAACCATTAAACACAAAGAATTTAATACAACTAGCTGAAATTTGGAGTGTTTTTAAATCGAGCCTAATAGAGTACAAAAAATGTATCTGTTAGCGATGCACTTGAATTCATAAAACAATACCAATTAACAAACTCCTGTAAATAAAATGTTTTAGATAAACAGCAGAATCATGACTACAAAGAGCGTGTCTCAATTTTTCTTACGCATGCACGAACAGATCTAGCTGATTTTAATTACGATGTAAGGCGACACAGCACATTTAATTAAATGACTGTCTTACTGGCTGCAATTCAAATATTAATTGACGCTAAATACTAAATCACCCACGAGCAACGAAATTCAAAATTTTGTAACACATATGGCACGAGAATATAGTGTGATAATGAACGCCAATAGGGGAGGCTCCTCAAAAGAATAATGAAAAATTGGGCAATGTCAGTCATGCTTACAAAGGCTCAAATAACAATAATAATAAAAAATTTAAACCAAAGTACAAAACTACAACCAGTCCACTGAACAACGCACACAAGACACCCAGGAATATATTCATGAGATGGTTGTTATAAAACATGAATAGTGCAAAGTCTGTGTGAGTCCCTTTCTCGGCACACGCCACTAAAATCAAGAATTCTCACACACCAAAAAACTTGACAGGAAAAAAACTGTATCTACAATTGCTGTAGTGCAATCCAGTGAAAAGTTAATAAAACATCTGTTGAATCTGAGAGGTTGAAGGAGTTGCTCTCAGCTGCAAGGAGCACCTACCACCAGGTGTTCTGCCCCCCCTCACTTGTAGGCCTCAAATCACTAATGTTATAATTCCATTAAGGCACTGAGCTATTTAGAAGTCATAGAGGATAACAAAAAGTCTCAGGTTTCAGTTATTATCCAACGCAAACATTTGTTTTAAATAATCCAACACTCTTCCTCAGGCACTGATCCGCACGATTAAAAATGGTAGAAACAAAGTGTGTCCAGACGAGCAAGGCAGAATGTTCGCAGCGCAGCCAATGAAGCGACAGTCTCTTAAATGAATTGTCATCGTCCTGTATCGAAAAGCACCGCGAGGCAGTGGCGACCCAGTTAGGACGTTTCAGTCGTTCCGCTGCCAGCAAATGGGAATTCGCTGAAACATTCTGCGACGCAATTCGGCAGCTTTGCATCTACCACTCTCACCCGAGTCTCGTGCCCGCGCCAGAGTGCCGCCAAGCGTCGGACGCCCGTCTTTGGAAATTTTATAGTCACATGGTATCACAGAAAAGCAGTAATTGGTTAACTGTAGCAGCAACTCCTGTCAATCCCTCACACCACAACTCTCACTTTTTTTTTATCAAAAGCTGAAAACAGTTAAGTTCCTGTTGCAGGCCATAAACCAAGCAAATACAATAATAAGTAAGGAATAATTACCATCAAGCAATCAGCTGGTCTACTATGAAAACTACTTTATTCAGAACTGCTCTACAAGTGCAAGTCTTTGCTACCAGATGGCAATCCATCCAGCCCCACTACGTTCTACACACAGAGAAACTACAAAAACATCTAACACTAAGGAACTAGTCAAGTGTACTTATCGACTACGACTTTTAAAATACGACAAACCACCAAAAACAGAAATAACTAGTATGAAGTAGTAGGGACAGGGAGTACATAATTCAGTTCAATGCGATAAGATTTTCTTTTTCAGACCAACCCTCTGAAATCTTTTCAAAGTTAATCATCTATGTGGCGCTCCCTTAAACACCACATGACAGGCTTCTCAAAGAAAAAATACAAACTTTATTTGCTCTTTTATCATTTAGAATTAAATACAAAAATAGAGGGTTTCACCTTTTCTCCCCTTAAAACACTTATTGCTGTTCTTATATTATAAAAGGGTATTGTCACTCGAGCAAAAGGAAAAAGTGATCATCGGATAAATTACGCAAGTTGTTAGTAGCTGTTTCAACGCCACATTAAGAGTATTTGGCACCATTGACACACCTGTTATTTCAAAACATGACTCTAAAAAAAATGAAGAAAAAGGAAATACAGACAGAGAGATGAAAGAGGAGAGAATAGAGTAAGGAAGTAAATCTGCAAACACATTGTAATAATAGAGAGCTAAGTTTAAGAATGTTACGTACAGTAAAATACCATTACAGCTTATTTAAGGGGACCCAAAACCCTGAAACATTATTCAAATTTTCTCTTACAGCTACTGAGAAGCTGTACAAAAAATCTGTTAACAGCGACTGTGGGTCAATTTCTCTGGTCTGGGCATGCGTCATCCAAATATAACTCTCTCTCTGCCCGAACAACGTCCACAAAAAAACTAAATTTGTAAAAATGTGTGGACCAAGATATTTCCAAAAAACATTGTTTCGCGCATAACTTTAACTCCACAACACAACCAGTTATACGCGCACGCGTCGTTTGCAACGGTTAGTACACGGACTACGATTTCACACCCGACTATAACTGTAATGATTTTCTTCTCCTTCTTGTCATTTTGAAAGAAAGTAACTCTTAACTTAAGGGCATCTGTGATGGTAGTTTACTGCACTAAGACTCTGAAGTGATCATCTAGCTTTTCACATTTTTCCTTTTGCTAGGAGTTTATTCTCTGCGAAAACCCCATATCAAGAAAATGCTTTGGCCCCCACTCCCCTCCCCCCTTGCCACGTCTAACCCAAACACTTTCTGTCTGACCCACGAACTACGACTTCAGTAACACAAAACAGTATTAAGTTAAAACACTGCAGCACATCTCAGTCTTTGTTATCACTACCAACCAACAAAGCGTCCGTCATGATCGTCACCAAATTTACAGCTGATCGATCTCTGCACGAGAACACATACACTCAACACTTAATGTTACGAACCAGAAAACATCTGTGGTACTATTACGATACATATGCGTACAATATGGTAGTACAAAGGAAACGAGGCATCTATTTTCTCAACGCCATGTCCCTGTCATTAGCGAGTCATGGATTGTCATTAATATAAATAGATGAGATCACGCCGTTGTCGGGTTTTGCAGAGAATGTCTTAACCGTTAGTTATTCCAAGTCGGAAAAGATCATCACATTGGGTACATCGAGTAATACCTGCTATTTTCATGGTCAATCTAGACTATTATAAAACGAGTAACAATCAAAGACTTATTACGTTTACGTGACCTCTCGAGAGGCGAAGCACACTTGTGACCCGGTGGGCAGGTCAGAACCCGCCGACACATCAGGCGGTGCTGACGAAACTAAGAGCGAGAACATTCGCATACGGTTCGCAAAAATTCACGTAGGAACCTAGAGAAGTCGCTCGTATCCCCATTTGGAAATCGACGACCTCATTAAATTTTTCACGACACTTGGTTCCGACTTCAAAGTCACATTCGGCACAAAAACACAACATAAATTAAGTTAAACTAAATTGAAATTAAATAAATAACATCCGCGATGCTGCCTGTGTATTCCACTAAGAAACTCGCCGTCTACATACTAACCTAACTAAAAAGCATCATTCCACAGGAAACTGTGTGTGCAAGGGAAGAGGGCGCGCTCTTAGTTTCACAGCAGGAACTGATCTGCCTGCTAATCAACGCCCAGCAGTAATTGGTCCGCAAATGTCACATGTGAATGACCTTGATGCATGATGGACAGGAGGGCTTACCCTTCCACCCAAATTTTGACAAGACATGTGAAGTATGGAATGTCGACAGGTGAATGAACTGCATTTACATGCATTTTGGGCTGTGTCGGGCTACGTCTAACGTGGGCCACCGAGGAGCCGTATTATCTATAGTTGAGAAACAGTTAGGGTGATAAGGCTGCTACGGCCAGTTGACTAGATGCTTCAATGACAATCCCCACCAAAAGGAACAGTTTTATAAGG